TATATATATATATATATATATTACATATATATATATATATGTAATATGTACATAAATAAATTGCATGTTGTATATTAGATTGCATTAATACTAATTGTAGTATCACTCTCATTACCTTAGAAATTTGGAGATTGTCTTTTCTTTTTATGTCTCAATATTTATACATTATTTTTGAGATAATCTTTAAGATGTTATGCTAATAGGTATATATAATTAGTATAAATAATGAAGAAGTGTGATAAAATTACAGAAAAGAGAAGTGTCTTAATTGAATCGCCGATGATTTTGACATATAATATATTGTCATGATTCTGAATAATTCCCAATAGATTTTAGCCGGCGCTCGTCCTTTATTAATAAGGTATTAAAAAAAAAATATTATTTTGCTACATACGTATTAAGGTCTACCTGACTGTCCCTTCGCCGACTAAAACCTATTAAAGGTTACTCAAGATTATGACCTTGACAATATATATATGTCAAGATTATCCAGCGATTGCTCCTCTTCTCGATTGTTTTCTCTAGTATATTACTAAAAATGTTAACATAATTAATATAATATAATATAATTAGTAGAATCCGTGCACACGCAGATTATACGCTGATCGACCGAGTCGATCGTAGCATGTTCTTCATGATTCTCTCCATTGCCACTCGCTCAAAGCCGTGGCGAGTGATGGCGTTACGGCTATAGGGGATGAGGTATAGTGGGGACAGCTAGCTAGATTAATATCTCAAAATATTAATCCTGGCCCTAATAATTAATGTGAGTGAAATTATGAATAAACAGATAAATTTATAAAGATAAGCAAAAATATTTATTTGTAAGTGTACCACGACAAATTAAATTACTTAAAAATTAGCTTAGCCCGTATCTATATATTGAGTTATGCTGAAATATTCTTATTCGCAGTGATGACATGAATACTTTGCAGCAATCTAAGACCCGTTCATTCATGAATTTCTTGGTACCTTTAATCTTTAGGTAACCATATTGTGAACACGGAGCTAAAACGACATCATTTCATATTGTTACAAATTCATCCGGTTTTTTAAATCATTCAACGCGTATTATGTACAAGATAAAATTCTGCATTTGAATATCTCACATATAGACCGTGGCAAAAATAATGCATTATTTATCGTGACCTTTGCAACACTATGTGAATAATATTTTGTACGATTAGTAGGAATGGAGAAACTATAATCACAAATATCATGATTTTAAGATGATTTCTTGGCACATATAGAATCATCGAAGTTCCTTGTATATAAAGTTACTGCAGATCAATGTATTCGAAAATATATTCGATCAGATCGCACGTTTTTCAAATTATTCGCGGTTTAAAAATACTTTGAATAATATACAATTTTGAAAACTTACGAATATATTAGGTGTGGGAAAAAGTTCGTGGCGTTTTTTTAATGCCATCTAACGGGAAAAACGCCACGAACTTTTTGCCACCGAATATGAAACTTATAAAATTAATTATACAGAAACTTATGAAATCGTTTTTGTAAAAGCGTTCTTCTCTTTGTCAAAATGAATTTTAGATTTTTTTTAGCATCATTAATTTTCTCGTATGCCCAATTATTTACTTGTAATTTTATTATTTATTACAATGATGTAATAATCGATTAATGTATCATAAGTAGCTTACTCTACTTTCAACTTTGATTTCTTTTAAGTGCCGTATATTTTACATGCGCCTTTTTGAAAAGTTTCTTAGCTGCTTACGAAAAGTAGTTTCTTAAAAATGTATTCTATACTTGCATTACGGAAATATGTTTTAATATGCATTCTAATCACTTATTTACTATTGTGTACTTACATGACAAACGCGCACACATATATGTTCATGTATACGTTGAAAATCGAAATTGCCTACTTGTTGCACACATTTTCTTCTGATACCTTCCATCTTTCGTGCACCTGCAAATTGTTTACTGGAGATAGCATATTTTAACTCTATTATTTGAAAATTTATTTAACATTAAAAAATTGTACAAAGTTTTTGTACAAATTTTATGTTTCTGAATGCGATTTCTAAAAGAAATGTCATCGTTCAGCCGCATTTTATTAAAATTAGGAATTATTTTATATCAGACACAAATAATAATATATAATCAATATTTAAGGAAGAAAAGATATTTAACTATAAAATACCACGAATTATATAATTCGTATGAGTATATACATATAATTATTTCCTATTTATATATATATAAAATTACAGAAAAGATTTGCTCTTGATATCATATTGTGAGGAACGGCAATATACTCTCTCTCTCTCTCTCTTTCTCTCTCTCTCTCAATATCTCTCTGTCTTTCAATATAATTCAACGATATAAATCGTGCTTGCACATAACTGTTTATTAAAGAAATATCTAATCATTACAATGCCGTATTGCGAGAAACAGCGATCCATGGATTTTGTTATTCATTCGTGACATTTCTGTTGCACATAGTGCTGCGAGAAACGCACGACTCTTTGCGGTTGTCTGGCCTTTTACCAGACGATTCCCGCAAAAACGCGATAGAACGTTAAAGTTCACGAACCGCGATAGTAGTTGGCTGCATCCTATTTCTGATACAGCTATGGTTATAATCAAGCAAAATAATTATAGAATAAATTATAGTAGCGAGATAGTGAGACCTCCTCCGTTGTGGAATTTAGGAACAAAGATCGGCATTCAGTGCACTCAAGCAAGGAAGGTTATTGCTTACCCCCACGCATACTCTTTAAACCGTTATATTGTACACGAGCATTCAAATGTCATTCGATGAAGAAGAAAGAGAGATCGTCTTTCATGGAGAAACAATTCTCACATTGTCTCCGAGATTGCCAAATCGATCAGTGCTTTCAACATTCTTAATTTCCTTACTTAATTTTTTTCTTATAGATTTTAAATAGAAGTTAAGAC